TATATATATATATATAGTAGTTTTCAGGGCTAGGATTCAGTTGTAGGCTGTTTGGCTTGCTGCATGAACGTAGGAAGGTCTGCGAAGCAGAGACTTCCTCCTCTGACACTCGGCTGTCTGTCTTTGGCCTTGAACTTCTCTTGCTCAATCAAGACTGAATCAAAAGCAACCATTCTCATACGCTGAGGAATGTCTTAGGAATGTGCAACCCCTCCACATGCACACTAAGCACGAGGATGGGTGAAAAGGGAAATGAGTGGGCAAAAGTACTTCAAGTGATTTTCAGTGGTGTTTCTCAGAAACCAGACAACTCCCTTTCCTGCAAACCTCTGCAGTGTAAGCAGATCCTACCCTACCCCATCTCCTGGTCTCCCAGTCCCTCCCTGGGCCTGCCTCTACCAACCAGAAGTCACTCCCAGATATACAGGGCCGCTGAGGCTGGTCTGGTCCATCTGGCACTGGTATTCTCCACTGTCATTCATTGTGACTTTAAACCTGTAGCTAGACTGGTCCTGGCCCGAGATGCGGCTCCCATTGTGGAACCACTGGGTGGAGTAGGAGTAGTTCCCCAGATCGTGGGCCCCTTCGCACTTCAGTGTCACGTTGTCTTCCTTGAGCACCTGGATCCAAGGGGGCTCAAGTTTCACCACAGCCTTGGGGAGATCTGCTGAAGTTCAGAGAGAAAAGGCAGCATGAGGAAAGGGAGCCCCAAGGACCTAAGCAGGCTTCAAATTGCAGACAAAAAAGCACATGTGTTCCTACTGGAGCAACTAGAAGTGGGCCAGAGCCCAGAGGCCTTCTACCATTGAAGGCAAATCTTCTAGTCCTATATCCATCACATGAGCCCCAGGGAACTCTCAAGGAATGCATGAGAGGAGGAAGGAGGGAGCAAGGGACACACCCCCAAAATATATTATCAATCTTGCCAAGATATATGTAAGTTTCTGCTCCCCCCATCACTTGCCTCCCTTGCGTGGAGATGGCTCTCTATTAGGAGAACAGACTTTGGAGCCCTCAGATCCATGCAAAGAAATGGACTTTTCAACACATGGGCCAATCCATGAAGGTAGTGTGATTGATTGTGTATGTGCTTGGATTTCTTTGGAGATAAGAGGCTTTTTTTCCCTTCTAATAAGACCTTGAAAAAAATCTTTGACACATAATATACAGGGTACAATATGATATTTCAATACATGTACACAGTGTAATGGTCAGATCAGAGTAAGTGGCTTGCCCATCACTTCAACCATTATCTTTTCTATTGAGAACATTTAAATCTTCTATACAAGCTACTGTGAAATATTTATTGCCAACCATAATTGCTATTCTGTGCTACAGGACATTAGAAGTTAGTCCCCCTATCTAACTATACCCTGATACCCAGCAACCATTCTCTCTCCATTCTCACCCTCTTCCCCACCTTCCCCAGGTTCTGGTCACTAAAATTTACTCACTGCTTCTTGGAAATCAACTTTTTAGAAGCTCAGAGTTTTACTTCATGAGTGAAAGGTTGAGAGAGAGGACAGAATTCTCATTTTTTGTGCGACGCTAGCCATAGCTCACCATAGCAGAACCAGAAGAGTTGGCACATTAGTGCACTATGTCTGCCCACCACCTGCCTTTTTAGGCAAAGGGGAAAGGAGAAGAGGGGCAGGGCATCTTCTGAGAACAACGACCCTTTCCTGATCCTGACCTGATGCTGAGCTTGGCTGCAGGTAAACACCTCCAGACAGGGCACTGGGAGAATAGGAGGTGGCAGAGAAGGGAGCGATATGGTACAAGAAGAGTACTTACCATGTGTCCCAGCAACAAGAGCTGTAAGAAAGAAAGCAGACATCAACCAAGGCCTGAACTCCACACTGAAACATACTTATCTGGGCCCAGAACCCCCTTCACCCACAGCCCAACCCTCTGGCCAAGGCTACCCCTTGGGACTGCCTGGATGAAGTACACTGCCAGACGTTCTGGAGCTCCTGCCCACGTAACAGAAGAAAAATCATATAAAGTTTTTTCCCACCTGTGCTGTGATACTTTCATTTGGCTAAACACTTTTGACTAACAAAAATAAAAATGCTTCTGTTCCCTGTTGGAGTTGGCATAGGATTTGTGCTTTAGTATGTATGACTTTGCCAGGGTCTATCTTGAGAGCAGGATTTTTCTTCTATGGAGAGGGACTAAAGATTATAGGTAATCCATAATCACTAGAGAAAAATGGAAAATACTCATAACAAAAATATTATCATCTTGACATATATGTCTTCTTGGAACCTCCCCCATGAAAAATATATACACAATGCTTGCATACAGACACACTGCAGAAGCTGTACTCTAAAAAGTGTTCTCCAGACTGATTTTCCATCTAGCAGGACAAGGTCTAGTAGATTAGTCTGTTCTGTGTAGTCATTTTAACACCTGTGTGCTGTCCTACAATTTGACTTGCCTATGATTTATTCCACATCCCTATTGCTTATCATTTAAGTCTTCCACATTTTTGGTATCAGGCAAATTTGACAGGGGATCTGAGAACACCAGATCTGTGGCTTCATGTGGGGGCACTGACTCGGGGAAAGGACTTCCCAGGTAGAAGGGTAGTATGGGACAGGAACAACCAGGAAAGGTGAATGGAAGGGTGGAAATATGTGGAACTATTGTTGGGTATAGTAGTAAAGTAGGTCCTGAGATGAACTACAACCCAGTGTGTGTGCTTGTGTGTAGGTACATATATGTATTCATCCATAGCAGAATTTTTCTCATGCATTTGAGCTGAGAAAGTCAAGAGCCTTCTACAGGGAAAAACATATGGAAGAAAATCAAAGCAAGAGCAAGTACTAAGAGATACTGTGGAAAAGAGTGTTGTTCTGTGCCGCTTCCCCGGGCTCTGTCCAGCAGAGCCCAGTAAAAACGACCACCAACGGCCAGTTCAAACTTCTTTTCTTTTCTTTTTTATTGCCCGGTTCCACCCCCTTTTATCTCCTTCTCCCTCCAATCACACCACATTCCGTAGGATACACGAGCCAGGTCGCTAGACAGGATTGGTCGGGACACTCTGTCCCCGAGCCCTTGTGCCAGCAGCCACGCATGCGCCATTAACTCGTCATGGGGCTTGGCAGGGTGCCCGGGCGCCATCTTGGGCACTCCCGCGTGGGCCCGCTCTCCACAGTTCTGAGGGTTTATAAAGCCGGATTCCAGGGGCTGGAGAGAGGGCTCAGCAGTTAAGAGCACTTGCTGCTCTTGCGAAGAACCCAAGCTCAGTTCCCAGTACTCACATGGTGGCTCACAGCCATCTGTAACTACAGCTCCAGGGTATCCAACACCCTCTCCTAGCATCTGTAAGAACCAGGCACCCATGTGGTGCACTTACATACATGTAGGCACTCACACATACATATAAATATTTTTTAAAACTGGATTCTGGACTCCATTTTGCCTTATCTTAACATGCACAGGTGAACCAGTTACTCCATGCCTTGGCAATCCCAGTCATTGCACTGACTTCCTACTGGCCTGCCATCCTGAGTGCACCTAAAGAAAAAGATGTAAGTTCCTGACCCTCACTGAAGCTAACAGTCTAATGATAGAGGCAAACATATATGCAGGGAAATGTAAACATATGTGCAGGGAAATGTAAACAAGACATTCTTTTTTAAATTTTTTTAGCAAGACATTCTTAATGCCATCAGAAGAATACAAATGAAAAAATATGGAAGTTCAGAAGAGGAAGTGATCCCAGGGCTTTGTATTTGGCAGGGTCTAAGCAAGGAAAAGAAGTGGAGAAAGTGGTATTCATCATGGAGCTTTAAGGATTTCTAGGGTTTTGACAGAGAAGGGCTATTCCCTGAGAAAGATTGACAGGCATTTGTCAACATTCACAGAAAGTTGAAGCCCAAAAGCTGCTTTATTTTTGGTCTTTGTTAAAGTGCCTCTAATCATGAGGAGTAAAGTTGAAAACGTTGAAAATGGAGGCAGAAGGCGTGTTCTGGGGAACTGCTGATGCCAGGCAAAATAGAGGTAAGAACACACATTGGATTTAATTTTTTAGTTTGCTACTATGATAATTAATCTTCATTATTGGCTTGACTACATCTAGAATCGCCCTGGAAACACACCTTTCAGTGTTTCTATGGGGGTGTTTCCAGAAGAGTTTAACTGAAGATGTAAGACTCTAAATGTGGTAGAACCACCCAATGGGCTGGGAGTCCCAGACTGAATAAACAGGGTAAAAGGGAAAAACAGCCCCTGAGCATTCATCTTTCCTGACTGTGGATACAAGTGGTCAGCCACCTCCCTGGCATAATCCCCTTGAACTTGTTATAAACCAGAATAATCCCTTCCTTGCATTGCTTTCGTTAGGTGTTTTATCATAGTAATGAGAAAAGTGATGGATACAACCAATATGAAATGACCCTGCAGAAATAACTTTTTCCATTTTGGTTCCCTTGCTTATAAATGGAGATAATGACCGTGTACTCACTCCATGAGGTTACTGTGAAATTAAATGAGATAATCTAAATAAAGCATTTTGTATGCCAGCTGTGGGTACCATGTGGTACCAAATGTACTGTGTGGGTATGTACATTTTCAATAAACATAACCAATTTTTCAGTTTGCTCCCTAGTGAACAGTGAGAAGTTAATATTGCTGCTGAAAGTGCTGTGTCAGATTCATTGGAACAGGGAAGTACCAGTGATTACTAAGAAAAAGATGGTTAACAGCAATTCAGAATGCATGTGGATGGCCTGTGTACATCCAGTGTCTTCATTCCTTGACCTATTCATTTAGTCAATTTCTTTCATACAACTTAGCCACTCAATCCCATGTTGACTCAAAGGCCTTGTGATCATCACTGCAAACCACAGCAACTTCAAAATTTCATGAAGTTGAGCATTCCATGCTGCAACCACACTTTCCTTTTTTCCACTCCATCTGCTGAAGTACAGCCTCCTTGGTCATCTTTGACTATTACTTTTAACCTCATCAACTGTCTCTAAATCTACATTTGCCTTCATCCCATATACATACACATCTAGCTCAGATTTAATGTTTTATCATCATCACCTCATTGCAAATGCCTTTAAGTTGTTGTTGTTGTTGTTGTTGTTGTTGTTGTTGTTGAGACAAAGTCTCATGTAGCCCAGGCCGGCCTCAAACTTGTAACCCATGCTGGCCTTGAATTTTTGATCCTTCTGCCTCTACCTCCCAAGTGCTAAGACTACAGATAGATCCCCTGAATTTCTTTACCTTTCTCTGTCTCCATCAAATGCACCTGTATTCCAAATGACTTTACTTGCTCATGTACATTGACAGCAGAAAGTGAAGGGGATACAGATGTAAAAGAAATTTAAGAAGCAGAATGAAAACAACGTGGTATTTAATGAGGATAAAAGCAGATGGCCAGGAAAAGGGTGGTTCTACTCTAAATCTAAATCTAAATCGTAGAAGGATGAGAAAATTTATGAGGGAAAGATGATAAATCGGATTTTGAATATATTTTTGTTTCTGAGCTGATGAATCTATTTAGAGGTATCCATTCAACAGGGAGAGAAAATGAAGAACATAGAGGTAGCGGGGACAAATGTGTTTGGTAGTTATTGACGTAGAAGTAATGGCTAAAACCCTGAGTGTGTAATATTGGCAAAGGAGACAATGAAGTGCATGAAAAAGAAAGGGAAGAAGCAGAAGGGAGAAAGCAACAAAGAGATGAGAACGAAGAGGGACGCCGTCAGTTATGTATTCATTCCACATCTAAGAGATTGTAGTGAAAACTATACTTTTGTCCAATGTACTCATTGTAAGGGAGACAGAAACCTTCTACTCTGGGTCAGGAAAACTCTCTATTTCACTCACTGGTAAGTCCCCAAATCCTAGACAAAGTGGTATGATGGGGCTGGAGAGATATCTCAGTGGTTAAGAGCACTATTTGCTCTTGCAGAGGACCTAGGTTCAGTTCCAAGCACCCATATGGTGGCTAACAACCATCTGTAACTCCTGTTCTAGGGGATCCAATGCTCTCTTCTGACCTCGGGGGCATTGTGTAACACAGGTGCACTTACATACATGCAGGCAGTACACTCATACACATAAAAAAATAATAAAAAGGTCAGAATAAGCAGAAGCAAAGGTATTAAAAGCAAAATGCAGCATCCCCTGCCTGGCTGTAATGGAAAAGCCATTTGGAGGGAAATGGAAACAAGATGTTTAGGGTAGAATTAGAACTCTTTCAGAAGACAATGGACCAGCACCTAAGGCACTTAGGAAAAGAGCTTCGCCTAGCTGTACTTGAAGATGCCATAGCCTCAGTGCATATTATACATGAACAGAGCAGGAGTCAGGAGCAATCAAGACACAATCAGGGGGTTATTAGAAAACTGAATCATCTAGTGATGAAGACTTAACTGTGGAAGTCCAGGAAAATGGAAAAGATGGAGTAGATCCTTGGAGATTTAGCAAAAGACAAATGGAAGAAAACATCAAAGTCAATTTAAAAAGTAGAACAAAACAAGTCTCTCAGGAGTTTTGGTCAGGCGACTGGAAGCACAAATAGAAAAGTACATTGCCTGTACTTTTCTATTTGAAAAGAGCTGATCCTCTCCATGTGAAAAACGAGGTAGTCCATTGTCACTTTAACCAACAACTCATGGGGAAATAGTCTCTCTTCCCTGCCTCTGTGTCTGCCTGGCAATGGAGGGCTGAGGTCTCCCAGGGCTGACCAGATTTCAGTATGAGTTATAGCATGTAACTTGGGGGAGTGCTTTCCTCTGAGAAGTAACTGTGGAAGCCACAGGAACTAAGCTTTAGAAGGTGCCACAATAGAGCTCTCCTACTGGGCTTCACTTAGACTCTTCTAACAGAATTATCTGTTTCTGTCCTCCACAGATAAAAATATGACCAGAGAACAGTCCTCCATCTCAGCTAAGACCTTGACTCTGGCTTTCCCGCTAATCAGAGCCAGGACCAACCCTCATGGTCTGTGTAGTGAAAGGAAGCCTGAGTGATTTCTCTGGTCCCACAACTGACAATTCCAGATCTGCCTGGGTTTGTGGATTCTCTGAGCCCCAATTCCCTGCATAACCCATTCCTTCCTGTGTTTCTCTTTATATGTAAAGACAGCGGGCTTCAGCTACATGGAGTGGCTTCACGTGCATGAAGAACGACTACGTTCACTCCCTCAAATGAATCTTAGAGCTTCCCCCAAGCTCTTGTCTAAGGCAGCACTATACATCTTGCCTAAGATTTGATCCCACATGAATTACAAATCCAAAAGGAAACTGGTCAGTCATTTGTCACTGAAGTCTAAGACACTAGATTTTCCTCAGATCAGGTACTGAAAAGGAGGAGGATAGTGTATCAGAAACCTGGATGCCCAGTGAACTTGAGTAATAGACAGTAAAACAACAAAAATCCCTGCCAACTTTGACTTTCAAAGGCCAGCCAAGTTGCCATAATCTAATTGTCATTAACCTCACACTCCTGATTTCCCTGACATTCCTCCTATGCCACCCTCATCCCTGCTCAAGTCCAGCCCCAACCCAAGGTGTCCTTGCTCCTGCCTCCCTCCTGGGGGCCCTGACTCACCCAGGGCTAGCACAGCTGTCCATAGTAGCATTTGACTCAAAGTCTGCAAGTGTTTGTAGTTAGCCCAGTTGCTCTCCATTGCAAGGGGTAAGAAGGGTAGGATTCTCATCACCCCTCGAGCAAGCCAGCAGCAAGCAAGCACGAGCTTCTTTTCAGGCTTGGCAGATTGTACCCACAGAACCAAGAAATTCTAAAGTCCAAATGAGGAAGTGAAAAGAAACGGTCTATTTAATCATAGGCTCCTCCCCTTCCACCCTTTTCCTCTTATCACTTCCCTCCTCAAAGATTCAGGCCTGACCAGAATCAACCTGGGAAGAAGGGGCCACAGCTGACCAGGGGCCCTGGTATATATAGGAAATAGTCACCTAAACACAGCTCAGAAACCATTAACCTCAGTCTCCCTGTATCTTAGGAAAGGTGATGGAGGATGGTGTCTGGGAATCCTCTGGTACTTCTTCCCTTTGGAGGCCCAACTCTGGAATCTGGACTCCTCCTGAATCTGAGTATGGGACCTTGTGACCACCTACCATCATGTGAATTTCTCTATTGTCATAACCCCCAACTCACTGTTTATTGGACATCAATTTATGCCCTGGTTCTTAATTCTGGTCATTTTCCCCATAACTAATTTTTAATCATTAGAGCATAGAGAAAGAGCATGGGTTTCTAAGCTGTAACGTGAACTTGAGTAATAGACAGTAAAGCAAGCAACAAGTCTGAATGCCAGGGAGATTCTGAACGCTTCTGGTTACAGGTCTGTAAAAATGAAGATCATCATTCCTAGCCACTCAAAAAGTTTCTCAACTTCTGTAACATTGACATTTTGAGAAGAAGAAAAAAATTTAAGATGGTGTATTATTATATAACACAGGTTGGCCTGAACCTGGCTGTGGAGATCCTCCTGCCTCAGCTCCCTGCGTGCTAGGATTACAGGTGTGCACCAGCATATCTAGCTTCCAAATAATCTTGTGAGGAATTGCCTTGTGGGTTGTAGGGTGTTCAGCAGTGCCTCTAACCATTAGATGCCCAGTAGTGAAAAGAAAATTGTCTCCAGACTTTGAAAAATGTTCTCCTGAGTGGAGTGGATGAAGCTGTCCCTGGTTAAAGACCAATACACTCAAGGCTTTTGGGAAAATAAAAAATAATATGAATGCTTCCTGAGTGTCCCATGAATAACACTTTGTATTTCTTGCCTTCTATCTGCATTTTCAGAACATGAGATACTCTGGAATCTGTCTTGGCGCCCTCTATTTGGACCCCTTTCCCAAATGCTTTTTCAGCACATTGTCATATTCAAGGAAATGACATTATAACACTCTCTTAAACTCTGTGGTCTTCAGGAATCTTTCACAGCCGTACCCTATATACCACATGATGTTACTACTGATGACATCCTACCTCAAAGCCCCTCTCCAGCCCTTATCTGATCTTTAAACTACGGTGAAAGGGCAAGGGATTGACATCAGTACTTCCAAAATATCATTAGAAATAAAAGCATAAGAATGGCATATAGTTAACGTACTAAGAAACAGACTTAATCATCATTATGTAAGCACATAAATGCCTAGTGTAAAGGAGGCACTAGACTCATCTAATGTTTACAATCACAGAAGTAAGTGTTATTATCCTTGTTTGCACATGAAGAAATTTAGCTTCAGAGAAGTTAACATGATTTGTTCTAGGCTAGATGGTAGCAAGTGATAGAATATGAACCTAGGTGTGTCCAGAAGTAAAGATTTCATGTTTTCTGCAACATCTGAGTAGCTTCCCAAGCTCTGTAGGGACTACCTATGTGCCTATGTGTATTATAAATGAACTGAGCCATAGAGTGGCCTTCAGGTCTTAGAATGGCTTGATGGAACAAGTTTCAGCAGCTGTGAATAGCCTCATTTGTTTACAACATTACACGTGTGGGTTTCTCTGAGCACCCCAATGTGAAAATGGTTAAAAGCTTTGCACATTGCATGTGTTATTTTACTGAATTGTCTCAGGCCCCGGATACTATTACCAGCCATTTCACTGAGATCAAGGAATCAGACAGCATCTTTTGGACAGTTTACTAAATGAAATCATCACAAGGCCAGGTAGGACATTAAAGGACACTAAACTGAAAACTAGGAGTCTCTTTCCCATCACAAATGGGAAAGCATTAAGTACCAGATGTTTCTAAAAGGAAATGTCTTCAAATATAGGCACACAGAACTAAAAACTACAATATGCCAATCAGAAAAATTCTTCAAAAAGGACACAATATAAAATGTGTATTTCTAGTAATGGAAAAGTAGCAGAAAAATCATAAAAGTCCATTGAAAAAGAACAAGGCATGGTGGTGCACATCTATGAAATCAGCACTCAGGAGACTGGACATAAAGATGGTAGACTCCATGAAACCTGGACTACATAGTAATTTGAGGCTACCCTGGGTGGCTACATAGCAAGACCCTGTCTCAAAAAAATCAAAAAACAAAACCAGGTCTGGTAAAACATGCCTTTAATCACAGCACTTAGGTGACAGAAACAGGCAGATCTCTATGAATTTGAGGCCAACCTGGTCTACATAGTGAGTTCTAGACTAGCTAGGGCTACATAGTAAGACTTTGTCTCAAAAATTAAATAAATAAATAAATAAATAAATAAATAAATAGGGCTTAAAAAGCCTTGTCTCTTACCAGCCATGGATACATTTTTCACTCCTTGTAAGCTCTATGAAATGGAGATTTTGTTAGCACTTATAATGTTGTTGTGACTGTTAAATGAGATAATGCATAAAGTTCCACTTAGAACTTGATATAATTATCATTAACGTCTAGAAAACTCTAGTTTGCTGCTTCCATCTAATGGGAAGTGTATTTGCAGACCCTTTTTGAGAAGGGTAGATGAATTCTGTAAACTTAGATGGTTCAACTCTAGACACAGATTCTGGCCACTTGGTTCAGAGTCCACTCTTCTGTGCGTGTTCCTCTTGGTTAGGATTTGTTTCTCTTCCTCTTAATATCCTGATCATCCTGTGATTGCTTTATCTGTCCCCTTAAGGATTTCCTGCTTACAGCTACTTCCCCATAGACTGAGTCACCCCAGACACTACAAACAGATGCAGACTCCAGGGAAGAGTGAGCCTACTAGGAAAACCAAGCACAAAAGTGGGGAATGCCTGAATTAGAGACTTTGATTTGAGAGATCTCCATCAGATCCAAATGCCAGTGTCACCAATCTAGCCTGGAAATGTCATTAGAGAACTCGAGTCTTTGTGTTCAAGCACTCTCATCTCCAACAACCTCTATTTACTTATTTGTTTGTTTATTTATTTATTTATTTGTATGAGTGTTTTACCTGCATGTATGTAAGTGCACCTGTGTCATGCAATGCCTGAAGAGGACAGATCCTGAAGAGGGTGTCAGATACCCTGGAACTGGAGTTAAAGACAGTTGTTAACAGCAAAAGCCATGTGGGAACTGGGAACCAAATCTGGGAACTGAACCTGGGAATGGAACCTGGGTCCTCTGCAAGAGCAACCAGTCCTCTTTACACTTCAGCCCCTCCAGCAACCTTTTAAAAATGCAAATGCTCTAAGCTTTGTGGATCATTAACTCCGAATTTAAATCTACCACAGGTCACTTTTCTTCAGAGCAGCAACAGGCTGAATGAGAAATCTACTGAGAGGAGGAAGAGAAGCAATACTGGCTGTTTTCGAGGAAGCCAAGACACTTGGGGTAGTGAAGGGCTTAAACTACAAAGAAGTATTTATCTCTAAGAACCTCAGTGAGGAAAAAAAGAGGAGACTGGGCTTTAGACCCAACTACGGAACTATATAACCTTGAGCAAAGCACCTCTTCACTGGACCTCAGTAAATGATGGAGATGGACTGGATATTTTTTGTCAGATAAATGTGTCTTTTGCAAATATTTTCTCCCAGTCTGTAGCTTTTGTAACTATAATCACCCTGGTAAGAGAAGAGATTTTCTAAAGTGATACTTGAGCCCCTCCCTTCAACTATCAGACTATCGAACAATGGACTCCAAAGAATTAAAATTTCCCAAAGAATCCCATGCTGAGGGAAGAGAAAGTTCTGAAGTCTTGGTATCAGCCAGAAGAGGAACCTGCCTTTGGGAACTAGCTCCTTTGAACAAATCTGGAATTCTGTTGAACTACTTGGGCATCTGCCTGGAAGCTTAAATCATGTTGGTAACTGTCAGGGAAGGGATATAAGGTACACAGAGCAACGCGAATACTGAGGAAATTATGGCTGTAATTTTTATAACCTTGAAAAATATTAAGTCTATTCTATTTTGGTGCCCTCTAGGGAGAATTCTAGCTGACCAGTCTTTCCTGAATTCATGGTGATTTCTCTAAATGTGCATCATTATTTATTTTATGTGTTTTGCCTTCATGTATATGTGCTCCTGTGTCATGCAATGCCAGAAAACGACAGAAGAGGTGTCAGATCCCCTGGAACTGGAATTAAGGATGGTTGTTAGCTGCCATGTGGGTGCTGGTAACTGAATTTGGGTCCTCTGCAAGAGCAGTCATTGCTCTTTACCGCTCACCTTCTCCAACAATCTTTTAGAAATGCAAATTCCCTAAGCTTTGTTATCATTAACTCCCAAATGTACAGGTCTGGTTTCTTGTAATTTTTCTTCTCTTTTCATGCAGCTGTCTAGAAGCCATACTTGAGGATGTGACTAAAACTAAGACACGGGGACATTTCATGGGTGGGCCAACTGTACAGACCAGCTGACTTCCCAGGCCTCAATCCAGAAAAGCCTTATTAACTAGGAGATGGGGACCCTTGATGGCAACTCATTTCTTGGGAACTGTTCTTGCTATTACGGGAACTCTATGAACATATAACAAACTCCTTTCTAAAAGCTTGTTCATCTATGAAATTCACTCTTTGAGTTCTTGAGACAAAGAATCCATAAACCATTGTCTTGAGGTGACTTTAGTAGCCTTTGATCTTCCAGAAGCCTAGCCCCTCTTCCCAAGCCTAGCCCCTCTTCTGAGATGAGAAAGCCTCTGTCACTCGCAAGGATCCCTCATTTTTCTCCCATATGACTGGAATATATTAGGCCCTGTCTTAGAGAGAGAGAGAGAGAATCTTATTTTCCAGAGCAAGTTTTTAAATTCCACTGAGCTATCTCACCAACCGCAGAGCAAGTATTCAGAGAGACAATAAACATCTGAAA